GCGACAATGCTAACCACTGAGCCACCTCAGCTATAGTTGACTATAAGCCCGCTGCAGAGCTTTAGAACCGAGCCTGGACAGCAGCACGACCTCCTGCTCCTTCCTGCCAGTTCTCTGAATATTAACACATTAAAAAACAACAACTTCTGAACTTTTATGAACAGACGTGTGTGTGTTAATCATTTCATACATGTGCAGGATGATTTATCTGCATAAACACACTTAGAGGAATGCGTGGGAACTTCTCTGACGCGCCAGCAGCCAACTCCCTGAAGAAAGGAATAATCCCAATAAAGTGCAGGTGAAATAAGTTTGTGCACATCCAGCCGTAAAACTGTCTCGTCCTCTGCAGCCTGAATGAGCGACAGAGAGCCTCGGGACAAAGGCGCAATCTCAGATTCCAATTTGTTACTGAATCATGCAAAGGGCGTCTCAGAGCGCAGACGGCTGCAGGGGGAACGGTACGGGACTCTGGGAAGCAAAGACCCGACTGGGGAGCTGAAAAGAAGACGTGATTATGAGGAAGACGGGTATGAATTTGGGCAAACAAAAGGAGCATAAAAGGTAAAGGTTTAGCTTCAGAAAGGTTTCCTGTTGGTCTACGAGGCACAAACCTGAAGCAGAGATAAACCTTCATCCAACCAGTAACACATTTATCCAACAGAATGATCCATCGTGTCGCATCAGATGCAAATCGCAGTGAAAACACAAAGTTTGGCTGCATGAACAAACTGCATTATAAACATCCCATGATAACCCATAATAACGCAGCACTGTCATCGTTTCTACGAAGTTCAACATCTTATTGATGAGGTCATTTTACATCAAATGTTATTTTACTTGTTTTCTTTTTGTATATGAAGGTAAAATAATCTTTATTAATATTTATTCATGTGCATAAATTAATTTACTTGTTTGTGTTTTTCATTCTTGTGTCTTGATAAATAAAATTTCTTACATTTGATCTTCTGGTCGCGACTAAAAACAGTAAAACACGACGACTAAGCATTGATATTCACTAAAATAAAACACTTGACTGTGATTTTTATTTTATTTTTACTGTGGTTCTACAATGTTTATTATTTATTTATTTCCCCCTAATATTCAAAGATTTGTGGGAAAACAGACTAACAGCAGGAACTTGCAAACATGTGCATTAAATATCGTCTGTGTTTTCAGCAAATTAATCAAAGTCTCACATGTTTGCAGAATATTTCTTCTAATTTTCAGCTCAAAATAACACAAATATTGTTTGTTTCTCCACGACTGATTAACTCCTGGTTCTACTTCTGTCATAAACAGGTTGTTTCAGCGTCTGCAGCTTTAAATCCAGCCAAGCTTTCAACGCCTGTGTTTGGCCAGACGTTATAAAATCTGTATTTTGCAGGTTAACGTGTCGTCTGAGCGAGTTTCATCCTCGTTCTGCTGTCTGACAACATCCATCCATCATCTCTACACCTTAATCCTCACTATGGGGGGCTGGAGTCTATCCCAGCTGACTCAGGGTGAAGGCAGGTTCACCTGGACAGGTAACCAGTCTATCACAGGGCTACACTTAGAGACAGACAACCAAGCACACTCACATTCACACCTACGGACAATTTACAATCACCAATTAACCTCAGCATGTTTCTGGACTGTGGGAGGAAGTCGGAGAACCCGGAGAGAACCCACGCTGCACGGGGAGAACATGGAGACTCCACGCAGAAAGATCCCGGGTGTCCTCACTGGGACGTGAACTGACGACCTTCTAGCTAACGGTGCTAACGGTGCTAACCACCGAGCCACCTAGCAGTGATGTCTGACAACAGAAACAATAAAATCTGTAAACGAGCGCTGCTTTATTGTGAATTTAATAATTAGGTGAGCGATTAGTTTCACACCTCCAAGTCTATAAAAACCACAGAATCCAATGAAGACGGAGCTTTGAGAACCCAGAGGATCCTGTGTGTGTTCAGGTGTGAACAAATCCCTTCTCTGGGAGCCGTTGACGTGACTGAGTGCAGGTTTGTCATGTTTTGCTTCGCTGCGTTTAAACTCCGTCCTCACCTTTCGGTTTTTCCACAACCAGCCGCGTCCCTCGCTGTGACATCACCGCCGGCCTGCTGCCCCATTGGCTGGAGGGCGCCGCCTCGCTGCTGGCTCCGCCTCCTCGACCTGACCTGAAACAACAAACAAGAGGAAGATAAAGGAGCGGAGCATTATCTGACCAGGAAGCAGATGATGGAGTGTTCCATCGCGGCGAGGAGGCGTGGCCCGGTTCCCCTCCTGAGTCACCGTTTCCGTCCTCATCAGCCCGTGTGGTTAACCAGAACCAACGAGGTTTATTCTGAAGAATGTGCTTTAATTACTGTCTGGATGCAGCCCAGCGTCTGTTGGCTGCACCTGAGAGGACTTCATCCAATCACTCGCTAGAGTCTCATTACATGTGAGAAGACGTTCTGGAAAGATCACACCGATGCTGCAAACGAAACAGAGCAAACAATCCGGAAACGGCGGGAAAGAGACGGACGAGGAGAACAGCATGAGGGCAGGAGGGTGAGTTCAGAGAGGCAGGAGGGTGAGTTCAGAGAGGTAGAGGGCAGGAGGGTGAGTTCAGAGGGCAGGAGGGTGAGTTCAGAGGCAGAGGGCAGGAGGGTGAGTTCAGAGGGCAGGAGGGTGAGTTCAGAGGCAGAGGGCAGGAGGGTGAGTTCAGAGGGCAGGAGGGTGAGTTCAGAGAGGTAGAGGGCAGGAGGGTGAGGGAGGAAACGTCTCCATCAGGCTGCTTCCAGCCAGCACATGGAACAAGATGCCTTCCTGTCCAGTAACGAGTCCCAACGATCCAATCAGGTCCGTCAGTCATTTGTAACCGACAGCAGCTGTGATGTAACGCAGAGCAAACGGGGGGAAACGTTTCTGCTTTAGAAAACAGACCTGCAGCGCCACAGGAGGACATATCTGAAGAGCACAACTCCCCTGGTGGAGATGACAACGAGCAAAAACACGACACAAACACATTTACAGGACAGATATATATGTTAATCAGTAAAAAAAAACCTGATGGACATCTGGCTGTAAAGGTGGCAGGACACAGAAACAGCAGTGGGATACTGTCCAGAAACTGTCAAAATAAATATCTGTTTAAAAAAAGCTGATTTCAGTCATTTTACAGTCGCACATTGTAAAAGAACATGTTTGACATCTTCTCTTCTTTTAGGCTGTTTTTAGAGTTAACATCTAACCTGAGATTTTATGAGATATCGTCTGTAATTTACCAAAACAGGGAAACTCTGTCAAACAAACAGTTAAAAACAATATTTACTAATTATGGTAAATATCTGTAAATGAATATTTTTGGCTGATTTAAGTACGTTAAAGTCAGTACAATTACTATAAATTTTACTGTCACACATCATAAAACAACATATAAACATCTGCAAAAACTCACATTTTCTTATTTATATTTATTTGGATATATTTACAGTTTTTGGCCTTTTCTCTTTAAATGTTTTTAACATCTAATTTACTATTTTTTTCTGTGATTTTTTAATCAGCAGTTCCATAAACAGGTCATATCTGTGAAATAACAGTAAATTGTTCCAAAGATTACAGCTAATAAACAATCACAGAACATAATTTTTCTTTTACAGCGTTAATGATCGAAACTGAACTTTGGTTTATTCAGTTTGCTGTAAATCTGAACCTGGTAATAATTGTCCTGTCAAGAACAGTACAGAACCAGAACCAGAATCAGCACCGCTACAGAACATGTGGTATCTAGATTTTCTCTCCAAAGATTCAAACTGTGGATTAAATGTTTGAAGTTCTGAAGTTCTACCTGAGTTTTGGGTAACGAAGCCGAAGTCCGACTCCTGGACGCTCGACCTCCTGCAGGACTCTGGTGTCGGGTTCTGGCTGGTGTCTGAGAACTCTTCTGTCGGCTCATCGGGTCCAACAGGTAGCGCTGGGCCAGACGCATCACCCGGGTCAGGACGCTGACGGGACCGGGAACCGGGTCTGCAGGTGGATGAGATATTTTATTATATGTTAGATCACAGAAACAATACGGACACTAATGTGCACATCAGGCTGTTTGAAGAAATGAGCTGCAAACTTGTTGGTATTTACAATTAAAAAATAACATTTTAAAGTCTAAGTACAGCATGAAAATAGAATTTTTGTATTTATTATTCCATATTTATATATTTTTTATAATGTGTACTTGTTTTATTTTTGTGTGTTTATTTTATTTGTATAATAAATATTTGTATCTTTCTTTTGTAGTACTGCTGCTCTTCCTTTCTTACTTTTATTCTATTTTATCTTTTATTTTATTTCTTTTTTCTGTATATAAAGCTGACTAGTGAATACCAACAAGAATCCCAGTCTACCTGCACTGCAATGCACCCGTGCAAATGCCAATAAAACTTTATTCTATTGTAGTCTAAATAATAATAAACATACAAAAGTCAGATTGAATGAACATCTGTAAATCTTTTATTTATAGTTGCCACATAGTCAACAGTGCATTTTTAATTTAGAGTGTACATTACGCTTATTTTGCATTTTATATTTTCTTATTGTTTATTTTACTTGATGCCTATTTTTGCATATTTATCTGTATTTATGGTAACTGCACTCCTCCTGCTGTAACAACCAAACGTCCCCTCAGGGATTAACAAAGTATTTATATATTCTATTCTGTAGTTCTTGGTTCTCCATGAACAAGAACTTTCTGATGTGGCTTCATGAAGTCGTAAACGTGACATAAGACGGTGTGAAACTGTCCCGCTAAGTCAGAACCCCACTCAGCGAGCAGCACCACAGTGTTGGTGTTGCAGCAACAGCACAAGTTATCGTTCCGTCGCAGGCCGACTCTGTGTGTGTGAATGTGTCCTTGTCATACACAAATGAATGTTATCAGCAGCTCTCCATATTTACTCAGGAGGGGATCTGCAAGCTGCCAACACAAAGACTCGCTACACAATCTACTGTCCGCGTTGGTGTGCAGACGGTCGCGGCGCTGCAGCTGGATCTCATGTTTATGGAGCAGCAGATTAAAACACGGTGACGTTTTCTACAATGTGTCGGAGAGAAAGCCTGATAGGCTTCATCGTCCTAGTAACAGCAATCCAGCACTGATACACGTGTTCAGCAGCAGGACAAGATGCCCTGTGGGCCACACAATCACAGCCAGGAGGTTCAGTCTTTGTGTTTCAACGTGTAAACGCTAGTTCCAGCTGTAACACATTGGTGTAGTCGTTGTCTATCAGCGCTAGCAGGCTAATCAGGCTAGCCTTTAAGGTTGTGCTAACTCACGCTGAACGTTAGCATGAAGCTTGCAGTCGATGCTGGAGAAAGGTTGTGTTGCTTCATGCAGCTGCTGCCTTTAATGGATCATTTATTCTACAAGTGTTGTTGTGATGTTTGGTTTACTAGTTTATCCTCGACAGATCGGAGTCTTACTGACAGTTTTTACATTATGAGTAAGAATTACGGCCAAAGACCAACAGACTCGTTTCTACATTTTCCAAAATAAATAATAAAGACGTTATTTTGTGTGTTTTGTGTGTTTTTTATGCTGCACAAAAAACACACTGAACCGCGTCACCAAAGCCAAGTTACATAACGACACATCATTGCACCGCTAACATGAACTATTTGGCATAAATGGTTTAATTTACTGTTCTACGTTTCATCCTGAGGGAAGCCACGTTTATAAAAACACCTCCAGCACCTATTGATTTGGATATATTTAAATTTGGGGTATTTTTTGGATTGTTTTCAACATCTAAGTTACTTTTTTCTTTCTGTGATTTTACTACATCTGCAATTTAACAAAACAAGTAATATCTGTAAAATAACAGTAAATTGTTAAAAGTCAAAAAACAATCAAAGAACATCATTTTTTCTACAGTGTTGATGAACAAAACTGAACTTTAGTATATTTAGTTTGTAAAAAACTGTAAACAAACAAACAAAAACGGTATTTACTGCCACCTCTGAAGTGGATTTACACTCAGAGCATCACTTCAGTCTGAATGTTGCTATGCTAGCAGCATCTTTGCTAACAGGCGCTTAGCTCTTGTTGTTGCTTAAGAATCCTCACTTAGCATTAGCCTCAGATAGCTAGCTACACCCAACAGCTGTCAGACACTTTTTTTTTTTACAACTTCACGCTGCAGAGTTCATTAGCTCAACAGCTAGCAGTTAGAAGGCAGGCAGCAAACACACCTGTAACTCCACCTCATTAACAGCAAGAGGCTCCACCTGGTGGCCAAACCAGGTACGACAGATAATCTACTGCATTGTCTACTGTAATATGTTTTTATTCAGTTGAGTCATTTAACAGTTAATCATCAACAAACCCCGGTCTGTACCTTTAACTGAAACTGATTTATTCTCTGGTAACTAAACCAAACTGATCTACACAAAAAGGAATTTCCTTTAAGCTGGTAAACATGCAGGACAAGTGGCTGTAAATCCTTCATGTGACAGTTACAGAGCGATCAAAGGGCAGCAGGGCTGTTTTGACAAAAACTCTGCAGAGTTCTGCACTCAAGCTCCACTTAAAGTCCCGTTTAGGGTAATTAAACTGCACTAAATTACACAAGTTATTGAATGCAGAGAAGTTTAGCTAACGCGTGCCTTGTAACTGAGCTGTGATTGAACGCCAGCATCCTGCAGGTTTACACTCGTCTGCTGTTTGTCCTGTGTTGAACCAGCTGAGCCGACGTCAGGCTGAGGTGTGTGAGGTCAGACCGGTGTGTGGACTAGCGCTGTGCTAACACACATGAGGAACAGAGTGACGGACGCTATGAATGTACAGATGTGACGGCTCACCCTTCACTGAGGTCTTCTCTGCTTCAGGCGGTGCCGATTCATTCTCTTTTTCATTTCCCGAGCCGGACTCTGTTTCCTTCGGCGTTTCACACGGCTCTGAAAGACACGTAAAACATAATATACGGTAATTTAGTTTACAATATGAGGTGAGCAGCAGGAATAACCGTCCTACAGACACAGGTATACATTCACATCCTAAACAATCCTGTAGCTTTATGACCTCGCTGCTGCACCGACTTCATCAAAACTCTTTTAAAAACCAACACTGTGCCACTGTCAGGAGTTTAGCTTTTGGTCTCCTGCAGACATTTTAGTTAAATGTTTAGCACAAGGACTTTTCTTTAAAAACATATAGAAAGGTAGAAGGTGCTGCTGCAGGATAAAAACAGGACATGAAAACAATACATTTAGTACATTAATGCAAGAAACCTCAATGTTTTTATTTTTTCTTGATTGCAAATGCTGTGTTTAATTAGCAAAGAAGGCATGATGCGTTTTGCTAACACTGTTTGCGAGACATATATATCTATATATAGCTCAATAAGATGAGAACAAGCCACTGCTGTAGGCTTTAACTTCATCAGGCTGAGCTACAGAAACGGTCTTTTCGGTCTGTACTCATGGTTTACTGCAAACTAGAGCTTGTTCAACAATCTAAACATTAAATATTTTATAAGCGGCAGAAGCACAAACACAGGACGGATCTCTGGGTTTTCAGCTTTCTGGCGATTTGTGAACCAATTTGTGTTCTAAGTGCAGCTCTGTGAGGGAAAAACAACCCAAACTTAGAATCTCACATCTTCACAGAATTCCTTTATTCTATAAAATCCTCTTTGCTCGAACCAGATTCTGTAAAATAGAAGAAAAATTCTGAACCTTCAGCGTAACTGAGACAACAAACAGCTGCATGACAGGAATCCGTCAGCGTTTAATTGGCATCTCTACGCGTTGCTGGTAAAAACATAGTCCTGCTTCTGGCTTAGCAAAGCCAATCTCTGACATTTGTGTGTGTTGGTTTACATTTAACCAGTAAGGGACTGAAGCACAGCATCCAGTCGGCTCATCCTCTATAAAAGTTTCCATCTGACCACGTCAAAACCTGCAGATTTATTTTAAATCTACAATAACGTAACTCTCTCTAATGAAGCCACGCAGAGTTCTACCTTCATGCTGTGAATGTTTCCACAGTTAAAGGTCCTTGAAGTCCACAGAGGAGGGTCCACATTTATCACTTTTTACCTTTTCCACCATTTTTGATTCCTTATAACTTCATAAGATCGATGCAAGACTAAATGTTTGCTTTTGATTGTGACACCTGAATGGATGTAAAACTGATCTGGTGTCAGTTTCTACCAGAACTCAGATGTGTTCTTCACCCCGAAACAGTTTTTAATTATCAGAAAATGCAGAAAATTTGTTTAGAATGACACAAAAATTTGACCAAAATGACACAAAATGTGTCTAAAATGACTCATAAATGATCCAAATTGACTGAAAATTTGCTCAGAATGACATCAAAATGGTCTAAAATGACAAAAATTTGACTGAAAACAACTCAATAATTGTCCAGAATGATTTCAAATTCTTCAAAATTACTCAACAATTGTCAATTATAGGAACAAATGGTGCTGAACAGAAGACTGTGATGCCTGGATGGATGTAGAACTGATCTGTTGTCAGTTTTTACCAGAATTCTGATGCGTTTTTCACCCTAAAATAGTTGTTAATTATCAGAAAATGCAGAAAATTTGTTTAGAGAGACAGTAAAATTTGTCTAAAATGACTCCAATGTTATGCAAGATGACTCAATTTGTCCAAAATGACTCAAAAATTATGCGAAACTACAAAAAAATGCAAAGAACAACCCAAAAATTGACCAAAATGACTCGGAATGACTCATAAATGATCCAAATTATCTGAAAATGTGCTCAGAATGACGTTAAAATGATCTAAAATGACAGTTTTGGTGAAGCTTCTCGTCTGTTTTTTAACTCTAGATGAGTGTGTCTTCATCACGAGGCCTAAAACGGGCCGAGGTTCTGGACCAGTGATCTGTTTTTCTGCCGTGTAGGGGCCCAGAGGTGACGCAGACTTCTAATTTGCAGCAGCGTATGTCGGTGATTTAACAGGAGCCTTAAGGACACGGCTTCTGCCAAACAGGAAGCGCCGATGATGAAGTGCAGCCTAATGCGAGGTCTTCGCCGAGCCCCGACCGAGCTTATCTTTGATGTCGGAACAACTCCATTTCCCAGACACACCCTCCACCTCCTCCAGCTGCCTCCCGACTCCCTCCGATCCGTCTCAATCACTGTCAGGTTCCCTTCCTCGGCCCAGCGCCGGCTTCAAAACGCCGGCGTGTCGCGGCACGTTTCCCGCTAGCCACCCAGGGACTGGCTGGATGGGAACGTGTGGCGTTAGCTCATCCGCTCGGGGCAATAAATCGAGTTTAGGAATGAGTCAAGTGTTCGTGCACCCCCGCTGACCCGAACGTAAACCCCTTCAAGCAGCGCCACTCTTCTCAGGTGATTGATCAGCTGAAAGGCAACGAAGCTGAACTCTGATTGTAATTATTGTTGTTTGTCAGGACTCTGGATCAACTAGAACACTTTTTACGACCAGCCATGATGAAAATAACTATAAATATGATCACAGATAGACACAAAAATGTGGCCGATGTAAACAGAAGTGTGTTTTTTCTTCGTGTGTGTGTTTCTCCGGTGAGCTCACCTGCTCGGTTTCTGTATGACTCAGGCTGTAATGAGAAGGCCTGCTGTGATTTATTGCTGGAAGTCGGCCGTGTGCGGGGAGTTTTTTGTTTTTTTTTACCGTCTCTCCAGTTTCATTCTCATACAGTTTGTTTGTTTGTTTAACATCGACCGGTATCGGATCAAACCTCACAGCCTGCCGTTCGGTGGTGTTAACGGTGTGTCGGTGACGTACGTGAGAAAAGCTGGCCGACATCCTGGAAGGTTATCTCCAGAGATTCTGCACCGTGCTACAGCTCCAGAGGGTCCAGGTAGAACTTCTTGTCCTCTCCGTCTGTACTAATCTGATCCAATAAGGTCTGGGGATGTGAGTGAAGTGAGTGGAGTCACAGTCCGTCAAACAAAGTCGAGTCAATTACAAGGAGGAAAACAAGAGAGTTTTTAACGGACAGCAGTCTGACATGTAGAGTAAATCCATTACTTCCAGCTGTCAGGGAGATAAACTCTGGTTTCTGATCCACTAACATCTGTAATGTTCTAGTTAGCTGGATAGCAGGACGACACGCTGATGTTCATCCTCGCATGAACCTCGAATAAACAGTTTGCTCATCTGGTTTCTTCTGCTCGACCGTCTCCGATTGGCTGAAAATGTCATCATCTGAGCTACAGATATTTAAAACGGTGTCTGAAATTCTAGCTTGAAATATTAAATACTTTCCAAGATGTATTTTATTTTTAAAAGCTGCCCATCAAGCCAGAAAATATCACTACTTGGCTCCATTCATTTCATTATTGTCAGACTCCTCCCTGTTTGGTTATATATGTTTTAATTCTGATTATTTAATCTGCACATCCGGAATCAATGAAATGATGAGAAATAAGTGTCAGGCTTTAATCTTTACTAGCTCCTGAGATATCGTTGTTCAAACTTACATTCCAATCTGAGTAAACATGTGCAGCTTTCTCTCTTTACTCTCACATGGATCCTGCTGCTGATTTAATAAACTCAGAGGAAATGATCCTGAACAAAACTGAACTGCAGCTCCTGATATTCTGTCAAAACCTGCATCATCCATTATTAGTTACTCACATTATTCTGACCTGTTTTTCCATCTTTGCAGCAAAGTTTGATCAGTGATAGATGTTAAAGTAGAGAGAGAATGTGAAAAGCATTTAGCATTTGTGGAACTCTGATGCTGATGTGGAGAAAGTTTCCTTCGGCTTCCCACCAGTCTGGGAATGACACCGAACCGTTAACCGGTCCGACCTACTGAGATCGCCATCGGGACTTTTAGAGAAAAGTGAGCAGGACGTTCCTTCAGACACGACATGTTTCAGATCAACAGGATGGACTGCAGGTCTGGAAGGGGCTTGAAAATGACAAATGTGATCAGAAATGTGACGTAACTTGAAGGTCTAGGACCAAAACGTTGCACTAATAAATGCATGAATCTGTTTTGTACCTGTTGGATGTACTCGTTCCTTTTGATTATAATATAAACAACAAAAATATCTCTGAATTAGTTAAGTGTTATAGTCATGTACAGTGGTGTGTTATTAAATTGTTGGTGGTTTAACCTCTAGTATGTATGAAAATGATCCAGGCATAGTTACACCTGTAATAAAACCTGGTTAGGCTGCGATCATGACCCTGTTTACTGGAAGGCAGCCGCTGTCTCGACTTGTCTCGACTGAACTATTTCATCTGGCTATCCGTCTCATTTGACATCTGTCATTTCTGTAAAGCACTTTGCAGCTGCGTTTTCAATAGGAGCTGTACAAATAAACTTATTACATATTGTTATATCTTGGCACGGCCAGATAATCTAAATTTAGCAGCACAATCATTTAAACTCGTCTTAATCCGGCTGACGTTGTCTCGGGACCAAAGGAACCTTTCAGATGGTTTAATGTTGGACTGTGTTCAGGTTTAATTGCTCGGCGGTAACACAACCAGTCTGGCCTTTCGCTGGCGACTCAAACAGTCGGTTCTTGTTGCACAGCTTGTCCTGAGCGTCTGAAGCGAGAGAGCAAAACACAGCGACCTTTAACAAACTCAAGGCTTTCAAATTGAAATATAATATCTACAATAACCAGCATGGCGGCTTAGCGCTAATGCCAAGGGTGGGATTTTTAACAGAGTGACTGGCTTTTCTCTGACATCTGTCACCTCTGACTGAACGAAAGCAGCAAAGACGAGCCTCAGCTGCTCGCTTTATGCATCTGATGCCAAAATAAAGGTTTAGCCTAATGCCATAATGACAGATGAATGTACACACACACACACACACACTCCCCGCTCTCAGGTGGTAATAACAGGCTGAGGACGTGTCGGTAAAGCCACGAACAACAAACCATCACATGGACCGTTTCAGTGCGGATGAGGCCTAA